AGGGGTGGGAGGGGGGCAGGAGGCTGCCTCCTCCAAGCCAGAGTTGTTTTTAGGCATTTATGTGAATGCTATGCTTCAGACGACCTAAGCCAGAGCTAAAGTCTCATGCTCAGCTCTAAGCTTTATGATCTCCTAGCTAAGGGCAAGGTAGAGGGGAATGAGAAGGCTGTTGGATGCTCTACTGAAGGGGTCTTCAAACTTGGCCCTTTTATGACTTGTGGACCTCAACTCCCAGAATTCCTCAGCCAGAGTGCCTGGCTGAGGAATTCTGGGAGTTGAAGTCCACAAGTCATAAAAGGGCCAGGTTTGAAGACCCCTGCTCTACTGAGACATCTATTTGTCTAAAATGGTATAGTTTCCTGCCTCAGCAAGGGGTTTGACTAGAAGACCTCCAAGGCCCCTTCCAATTCTGTTATTCTGTTCTCTTCCCTCCGGATGTCTGCTTGCATGCTAGGATTCAGTGAAGCTAGTGAGAAGCAAGAGGGTGGAGGGTTATTCCAAGTTTTATACAGAACTGGAGATAGTATACGTCCTGCCTCTCTGAGGCATAAAATCAGCCATCTGCTTATTTCTGTAGGTCAGAGTGCTGATAAAGGCATAGGGAAAAAGCAGCTTCGTTTTGATCAATTCACACTGGTAAAACTCCTGTTTCTCTCGTTAGAGCTTTGATGTTTCGTGTTTAACAGGGAGCTGAATCCTTAGGGTGAATTTTTGCCTTAGCACATTTGCCATTTCAACTTTGAGGAGGTGAAAAATATTAAAATGGCGCAATTAGTGCACTCCAGTTACCTGCTAGAAGGGATTCATAAGTAGCCATTTAGCGGTGGAATTTGGTTTCATGAATTTCCAGAAGCTCCTAACATATAAAGAAACGTCTGCATCTCGGATGCAGAATGGAAGGAACTAAAAATAATTCTGCAACTTGGTTTGTTAGACTGTGTCTCCCCCTGTTTGAGTGACGCTCTAGTTTTCTTTTTCCACTATAACTTGCTTTATTCAGTAAACAGACAGACAAGCAGATATTCAGCCGGCATTTAAGCAGGTGACAGAATGCATGGCTCTGCTAAGCCATAGATGAGGCTGGAGAACATGAAGTGAGAGAAAGATGCATGTAAAATGGGGACAGACTCTTCAGATGTCCTCATTTTTACATGCAGCTGTATCTCATGATCTCAAATCCACTTAAAGTGAGATATGATGATTTTTTTTTTAGATTCCATGGGCTAAGGAGGGTCCTTTTTGAGATGTCTGTCATTCCTTTTGTGAGCTAAGCTGTCTCTTAACCCATCTGTGCTTCTTCCTGAGATGTTTACCATGCCTCCTTTCCTTCTGTGAGCTAAGCTGCCTCTTATCCCCGTCTCCCAAGGTCTTTCTCACATGCCATTACATTTGGTTATTCTCAGTTTGTGTTCATACTGATTTTTGCTTGGACTAAGACTCGGTTTTGCTATGTCAATGAGAACTGGTCCCCAAACATACTTCATTCTCACATTCTTCATGGCAGCAATTCTAAATTTCTCCCACCTTATTTCCCCATGGGCATGAAAATATGACCCCTTCTTCTCATAGGCTGCAGCTGGTAGTATCCAATCCAGTGTCATGTCCATGGACAATGCAAAATAAATAGTTTTCCCTCTGGTTAGTTGTAAGTCCTCAGAAAGTGGAAAGCTTGACCATGAAGATCAGCAAGCCAGGTATCCCAAATTAGCTGGAATATTTACGATTTGGGACAGGGTCATCCTGCTCAAAAACCTCAAGAAATCTTGGGTTTCTTAAGCTTCTTAACCCCAAGAAGGGAGAACAATGAAAGCCAGAGCCAGGAATAAACCAACATGAGACAGAGTTCTCCTCAACTAGATGGACACTGTCAGTGACCTCTATGTGGGGATGTTTTCTATAATATGACTCTTATTCCTTTCTTGCCTGGCAGCAGATTTGGTCTAAAAATTTGGCCATCTTGTTCTCGATTAGAACTATCAAACCGATAAGAGTTATCAATCAAAAATGGATAGCTATCTCAATGAATTTGTATGTCCATGCTGTTATCACAACAAAGGTATTGCACCAATCCACAGTGGTCAAAAACATTTTGGGCTTGAGAATACTACAGGCAGGCGGGGGGGGGGGAAGCACCGTATATTTGTTTGTGTCTATTTTTTTTCCATGTACTCAAGGTATCCAAAAGTGCATTGTACTTTGATGGTGTTTGGGTGATTCAGGGATCTTGCTTATTTTAAAATAAAACAATATTTTATTTTCAGAAACAATCTTAGGACTTTAAACACACTTTTTTTAGGGGGGAAAACCTGTATTTTCAAAAATAGCTTAAGTGCTTCAGTTCTTATTCCAGCTGCCTCAGCCCCCAATTACATTGATATTTTTTTTAATTATTTTCTTTGTGTATAGGAAAGAATCAAACAATGCCAGCTCTGAATTAGTGCCTATTAGCTTCAGTCTAGTTAAAGTCTTTTAGTTTACTCCTAAATCTTTTAAAAAGTCTTGACTCGTCTAGTTTAGAAATAATTTGCAGTTCTTTTCCAGGAGTTAAATAATTAGAAAAAAAATGAAAGACCAAAGACTTTTTGAGATAGTGATAAATATGTGGTTAAGGGTTGTATGTAAGCCCCTCAAATATTGGAAAATGGTTACCGTCTCACCCCTTATCATTTGTAGTGTGTTTGAACCCAGAAGGGACATAGCATATCTCCAATGATTTATTAAAGATGTCAGTGAAGATGGAGGCCAGTTGATCAGCACAGACAGCAAGAAGGAGTTACCCTGTTTGGGCCTGGGTACTTTTCCAGACCTTGCACATCTTTTTCTGTGATCACCAGAGGTGGGGGGGCAAGAGGGATGGAGTCAGGTGTGGTAGACTTGGCTGTTGTTGGTGTATCTGAAATGGAGAGGGTAGCAATAGTTGACATTGGTCTCCTCTCAAACCTACAGGAGAACACATTCAGGTCATCTGCTAGTTGCCAATTCTCTTTATCAAGGGAGTGAGGTTGCTATAGCCAGTGATATTTGGGGGGGGGGGGTTTTCCACACATTTACTGGTTTATTTATTGAGAGCTTATTCCCGCAGTTTTTTTAAAGTAGCTTCTTTTTGTTGTTCTGATCTCTCTTGTGAATACATTCCTGGCCCGGTTGTATAGCATTCTAACTCCTTCTCCTGTAGGCTTCCTCTTTGGCACGGCGTAGATGTTTGAGCTTAGCTGTGAACCAACATTTATTATTACTGTAGATGTGTAAGGTTTTGGTCGGCACACATAAGTCCTCATAAAACTAATGTATGATGTCACGGGGTCAATGAGTTCATCCAAGTCCTCTGAGGCAGCTTCAAAAACCATCCAGTCTGTGCAGTAGAGACAAGCTCGTAGCTTTAACTTTGCCTCTTCAGTCCAGGATTTCACTGTTTTGTCGGTTTTATGATTTTATGTCTTTATCTATAAACAGGTACAGAGTGAATCCTGCAGTGATCAGAGTGTCCCACAGCCACTCTTGGTGGAGAGTGATAGGCATCTTTTAATTTAGAGTTATCTAAAATATTCTTGCATCGTGTGAAGCCTTTGACATGCTGAATGTATCTTGGTAGTTCCTGGCTTAGATTAGCACTGTTAAAATATCCTAGTACAATGAGTGGGGAGTCTGGCTATCTCTGCTCGGTCCATAGGATTTGGTCAGTTAAAGGTTGCAATGCCTTGTTTATGCAAACTTGGGGTGGTATGTAGACTCCAACTAGGATAAATGAAGAAGATATTTGGGGAGCGTAATAGTCTATAACAGTGATGGTGAACCTTTTAGAGACTGAGTGCCCCAAAACTGGCCCCACCCCCTGCCCCGCTCTTGCCCCGCCCGCACCCCATCCCCCATCCCACCTGCCCTCAGGGCCACTCACCGCCTCCAGGGCCCACCACAGATCGCCCAGGCAGCCCAGCAGCACCATGGTGGCCACGCCCTCTGCCCATGCCCCGCAGCATCAACTGTACGGGATAGGGCATGAGGGCAGAGTCTTGTCTACACTGCCTGGCTGCCATGTCCTTGGCTGCGCTGCTCCGTGTGGGCCATGCTCAGGGGTGACTCTCCTCCAGGGGGGCTTCTGGTCAGGAGGGGGTAATGCGGGGAGGCGAGGCTGGGGCAACGGCACGTGTGCCCACAGAGAAGGCTCCGAGTGCCACCTCTGGCACACATGCCATAGGTTCACCACCACTGGTCTATATCCCAAAATTTCTTTAGTGTAGTGGCATTTTTACACCATCAGTTGTTAATATAAAAAACAGATACCTTCTCCTTTCTTTTTACCGGATGTTTTTGCAATTCTATCTACTCTTTGAATCTGAAATCCTGGTATTTGCAAGCAGCTATCATTAATCAATGATTAATGATAGCATGTTTCAGTGAAGCAGACGGTTGCTGCATTGGAAAAGTCTGAGTTGTTCCTATTTAAAAGGAGCAGTTCATCTATCTTATTTATGAGTGAGAAAAGATTAGTTAAATATCGTGAAGGGAGGGGAAATATTCTTACCCCGTGCTTCTTGGGCAGGGGTCTTCAAACTTGGCCCTTTTATGACTTGTGGATTTCAACTCCTAGAATTCCTCAGTCAGCATGCCTGCCTGAGGAATTCTGGGAGTTGAAGTCCACAAGCTGGGTCTTCAAACTTGGCTCTTTGATGACTTGTGGACTTCAACTCCCAGAATTCCTCAGCCAGCGTACCTGGCTGAGGAATTCTGGGAGTTGAAGTCCACAAGTCATGAAAGAGCCAAGTTTGAAGACCCCTATTCTTGGGTCTGTAAAATGCCTCCCCCTTGCCCCTCCTTCTCCTTCTCTGATTTCTCTTTTGCTTCTTTCTAACTGCCATGCTGAAAGAGATAACCGCTGTTCCCTCAGTCAGAATTTCCCCCTCATTTGAAAAGAAGGGATGAATAGTCGCAGAAAGTTGCTTGTTATTTAAAGTCCACAGACTGATATTCAAAATCTCATCTCTTGAGTATGAAATTGACAGAGAGTCACAGGAAATAATAGAAAACATCAGAGCAACTCAAATATAAATGAAACCTTCAGCTACACAAATGTAACTAACTTTGAGAAAATCACAATTGACAAAGATATTTTGGATACTGACAGGAAATTAAACTTAAGTAAGAGCTCGAAAAACAGGACATTGATTTAATAAGGAGACGTTGTAAATACAATTTATGTATAAAGTGGTTAGAAAAGAGGTTATAAACTGATATTATTGTTATTTGTATAACACTAGATAAATATGAAGAACATGTGTATATCTACTTTTGTGTGTATTAATAGCAGTAAGAATTGTATTTGTCTAATGTTGAGAAAGTGAAAACATCAGGGGAAGAAGAGGGGATCCAAAAAAACCACTGGATTGTGTAACATTGAATAGATTTATACCGAGGTTAAGATGCAACATTGAGTAACAAATGTACCCGGACATCACATCTGTTTACTAAGCATTTATGATTTGTAATAATAGAAAATCAATAAAACATTTATTAAAAGAAAAACTACACAAGAGCATTTCACCAAGGCTGCCATCGCTGGCGCCATCTTTAATGGAATATCACTCACCATCTTCACTGTGTTATCTTTATCTTCCCTACAGCTGTCAAGACAGCCCCAACTGTATTCCCGCTGTCTCCTTGTAACCAAGATATCACCACCGCTTCCCTAGTTTCCATCGGTTGTCTCATCAAAGGCTACTTTCCTCAACCAGCCACAGTGCAGTGGAATTCAGGCGCCATCACCAGTGGGATCCACAACTTCCCTCCGGTTTTGCTGGCATCCGACCACTATACTCACACCAGCCTGCTCACCATCCCTGTCAGCCAGTGGCAATCCCAGGCATTCCAGTGCAATGTCAACCATGCAGCCACCAACACCAGAATTAACAAAATAATTGAACGTAAGTCCTGTAAAGTTATCCTCTTCTTTTCTCAAGGGCAGTTGATTTGTCAAAGGCAAGAAAAGTCAAATGTGAAGGTAAATCATTGGGAAATAATGGCAATTGTCAAGGTCCAAGCAATCCTTGGTTTACAACTCTTTGGTGACCATTTAAACTTATAACAGCACTGAAAAAGGAGATTTTATGACTGTTTTTCACACTTACAATCATTGCAACATCCTTGTGATCACGTGACCAAAATTTGGATGCTTGGCAACCGGCTCATATTTATGATGGTCACAGTGTCCCAGAGTTGTGTCTCACATTTTGTGACCTTCTGGCAAGCAAAGTCCATGGGAAAGCCAAATTCACTTAACAACCATGTTACTAATTTAACAAACTGCAGTGATTCAGTAAACAGCTGTGGCAAAAAAAGTCATAAAATGGGGCAAAACTCATTTAACAAATGTCTTGCTTAGCAATATAAATTATGGGGTTCATTGTTGTCACAGGTTGGGGATTACCTGTAGTTTTTGATTTATCCCCACATGGAGGTAAAGGACCACATGGAGTTACGACTGTCTCCTCAAAAGGTATCTGTGAACCAATGTGAGGAGGAAAGACAGGAGCAGCCATCACCTGTTGGAAGAAATTAAGGCAAAGGTTAATAGGGGTAGACCAGAAAAACAAGATTTGAGGAGCCCCAAAGATGTTTTTTTCCCCAAGACAACTGAACTTGCTTGTTTTTATTTGAAGACATTTCACTTCTCATCTAAGACGCTTCTTCATCTCTGACTGGATGGTGGGGAATGGCAGTCAGAGCTTCAGTCAGAGCTAAAGAAGCTTCTTGAATGAGAAGCGAAACGTCTTCAAAGAAAAACAAGAAAGTCCAGTTGCCTCATGAAAAAAAAAACCATCTTTGGGACAACCATGACCTGGATGACTGAGAATCTCCATAGATTAAGGTTTGAGGAGGGATTCAGAAGCCAAAGAGATGTTTGCGTGAAAAGTCAAGGATTTTCCAAGCCATGGAATCTTTCAATCAGAAAACCCTCAGAACAATCAGAAAGAAAGAAAAAAGCTGAGAAGACAATCATTGAAGGATAGGGGTTGTATTAGGACACTACACAAGGTGTAGTGACCCTCCTTCTTGCTTCTCTTCTCTGTTATACTTAATAACCATTAAATGTGTCATCTAATTCTTCCTGTTTAGGCCCTGTAATCCGTAGTCCTGTGGGCCCCGAGGTCAAGGTGTTCCATTCTTCATGTGATTCCAGAGACAGTGATGAGCCCATGCAGTTGTGGTGCCTCACTTCAGGTTTCTACCCCAAACAAGTGGGCATTGATTGGAAGGTGGGCAGTCGCTCTGGATTGCTGCATCCATACAATTATCCCCCTTGGCAGAATCCTGGCACGTATACTTTCAGTACTGCCAGCGTGGTCAATATCACCCGAGCTGATTGGCTGGAAGGAAATAGTTATTACTGCGAGGCAACCCATGCAGCATCACAAACCAAGGTGAAAGGCAAAGCCAGGAAATGTGAAGGTAATCATGATATTACGCAAATTCTGGTTTGTATAAGTGAGCAAGGAATGAAAAGAGAAAACCAAAAGAGGAAGCTAGCTCATCTTTTCACGAGATCTTTTGTCCTATGTATAAATCTTCATTAATTTAGGATTTCCTCACCTGCTCAGACAACCCTGTTTAGAGAGAGGAAACATTTTTCTGGCTTAATTGGAGCCAGTGGTGACAAGTGGTTAGAAAGCAGTATTGCAGGCTAACTCATTGTTCAGTGCAAGGAGTTAGATCCTGACCCGCTCAAGTTTAACTCAGCCTTCTATTCTGCAAAGGTCAATAAAATGAGGACCCAGATTATTGGGGGCAATAGGCTGACTCTGTAAACCACTTAGAGAGGACTGTAAAGCGGAATGGAATAGAATAGAATAGAATAGAATAGAATAGAATAGAATAGAATAGAATAGAATAGAATAGAATAGAATAGAATAGAATGGAATGGAATGGAATGGAATGGAATGGAATGGAATAGAATAGAATAGAATAGAATAGAATAGAATAGAATAGAATAGAATAGTTGGAAGAGACCTTGGAGGTCTTCTAGTCCAACCCCCTGCGCAAACAGGAAGTCCTATACCATTTCAGACAAATGGTTATCCAATCTCTCCTTAAAAACTTCCAGTGTTGGAGCATTCACATCTTCTGGAGGCAGGTTACTGCATGGATCAGTTGTTCTAACTGTAGAACAACTTGCATCCAGAAATGAAAAGCCATTTCATTATATACTATGAAATGGTATATAAGTTTAAGTGTTATTGCTATTTCTATTGACTATTAAATAAAGAGGCAGCATCAAAGGATTTATATTTACTAAACTTAAAAGCAGCTCCAGTAAAGATCAGATCAAGAGCCTGTTGGAATGGGGAAGAAGGAACTGACATTATTTTTTTTAACTTTAGATGGAAGCAGTTGTCCCTCCGGTGATATTAAGGTGGATATTCTGCCCCCAAGACCAAAAGCCTTGTACATTGATAGAAATAGCAAGATCAGCTGTGTGGTGAGCAATCTGCAAAATGAACAGGGGTTGAAATTCACCTGGTCTCGGGAGAAGAGTGGACACCTGACTCCTGACTTAATGGAAACGATAGAAGAATCAAATGGTGCTTACACTGTTGTCAGTCGCCTCAACGTCTTCTCTCAAGACTGGGACTCAGGAGAGACTTTCACCTGTGTGGTGGAACATCCAACCTTTGTTTCCCCCGTCACAAAGAAAATTTCCAAGACCAGAGGTAAGGAAGAATTTACACTCTTCTCCCTCATGGGGACTAACAGACTTATTTTCATTTGTGCCGGGAATGTCTGTAAGGACAAGCTCTGTAATAGATGATGTTTACTGCAAGTTTGGAGACATGAAAAAGGGGTGGCATCAACAATCCAAATATTAGGTGGATAACCACATCAGGTTAACAAAATTCACTCTTGGCTTGGCACAATGTGGGCCTTTAGTCACAGAATGGCCTGTAAACCATGGTTTAGGGATATAAATGAACGATGGGTTTGCTCAATGAGCAATGGCTAAAGGGATCGCAGTTTAGCAAGAGGGGTAAACTATTCATTGCTGCCACTAATTTGTCTTATATTTCATTGTTGTGTTTCTTTCCTCAAACTTCACAAAGGCAAACATAGTGCACCCAAGGTCTATGTCTTCCCTCCTCATCAAGATGAGCTCAACCCAAGCAGAAAAGTGTCGGTTACCTGCATGCTAAATTATTTTGCCCCATGTGACGCTGATGTCCAGTGGCTGCAGAATCACAATCCCCTGTCAGAGGACAACTATGTGAATACTCCACCTATGAAGAATAAGCATGATGATTCCTGCTTTCTCTTCAGCAAACTTACTATCCCCAGGTCTGATTGGGAAAACAGTGTATTCACTTGTATGGTGATCCATGAAAGCCTCCCCATGAAGTTCACCCAGAGGAACATCTCAAGAACCCAGGGTAAAAAATGAATCAGCTGCTCCATTTCAGTCCATCCTAGATTTCCCTTTAGCACTGTCAGACCAAACTGTTAATGATTTGTCTGCTCACGCATTTCACATCTGGATGAATAAAAGCAATCCATCTTAGAAACACCTCAGGTTCTGTTGTTTTCTCCTTAGGCATGAGATGTAGAAGGGGAAGGGGGATAATCTGTCTGAAAAAGCAGAGTCAAAGCTTAAGGCTGGTTTATTGTATTGATTGATTAATTCTGATTTCTACAACTGCCCATCTCAGCAAATGAATCTGGGTGGGTCACAGTTCTGATAATCCAACATAATGGAGTCCATTGTGAATCCCACAGAGGGCCAATGGATTTAGCTGGGTTACGCACAGGCACCCCAAATTAGCCCCACTGCAGTGCTGTGCTGTAAGAAAAGAATGGATTAGAATCAGGGGTAGTCAACCTTGGCTCTTTTATGACTCGTGGACTTCAACTCCCAGAATTCCTGAGCCAGCTTAGCTGGCTCAGGAATTCTGGGAGTTGAAGTCCACGAGTCATAAAAGAGCCAAGGTTGACTACCCCTGGATTAGATGCATCTAATCCAATCTGCTGAGCTTCAGGGTTCAGTGAACATCTGAATCCATCAGGTTCAAGGACAATGATCCTTTGCTGTCTGCTCCATATCAACTTTCCTATATTGTTAAGTGCCCTTCTCTGTCGGTTGTCTACTTAGCCCAAGAGCAAAGAGTCAAAGTATCTGAAATACATATAATTGTAATTGTTTATTGAAAAATGTCCCATCAACTTAGATCTATCTACGTCCCTTGGCCAACTGCTTCTGAGCCACAGTTTCTCCATGGATCAATCATTTGGAGCAAAGTGGCACTGTTCTCTGCAGGTCTATAATCAATAATAATTTCAATATCAAGGACTCATATCTAATACAAAAAGAGCCAGAGAATTCTCAAGGGTGAATCTCAATCAGCCATTGTAATATAAGGACGTTATTATCAAAACTGAAAAAATAAAATAAATGGAAGTATCAAACTCGTGATCCACTAAGGGAGAGTTCTAAAGGATCCACTATGCCAGGGAATGCTCTGAGTTTGCCAAATAATTGATACAAATGGCAAATATAAAAGCAAGGGAGAGAGGGAAGAAATCTTTAATTCAAATTACTAGACACAGTAGGTTGAGTAATAGGGGAAATTAGACCAGGATGAGCATTCAATTCTCAAGATATCCTCATTCAGAAATGCAAAACTACCTGGTAGAAAAACAATTGTTCTCCAAAAAACACTTCCAAAACCTACTGATAACCAGAACAAATTAAAAAGAAAGAAAAAAAGAAAAGCAATCACTTTTGTCCTTAAAAAGCTCTATTAAAATCCACTGATTGGTTATTCAAAATTCCATAGACCTATATTATACTATATTAACCTATAGTGTACTATATTAACACAGAAAAAGATGTTTTCTCAAAATCTGTATTAACACAAAAAGGAGACATTGCCTCAAAACCTTTGACATTTCAGATGTCATCTGAAGACAGAATGACAAAGTTCAAAGGACCTTGGAGGTCATCTAGTCCAACCCCCTGCTCAAGCAGGACACCCTATACCATTTCAGACAAATGGTTGTCCAATCTCTTTTTGAAAAGCTCCAGTGTTGGAGCACCCACAACTTCTGCAGTTCTCAATGTCAGGAAGTTTCTCCTTAGTTCTAGGTTGCTTCTCTCCTTGATTAGTTTCCATCCGTTGCTTCTTGTCCTGCTTTGGAGAACAGATGGACCCTCTCTTCTTTGTGGAAGCCCCTCAAACATTGAAACACTGCTATCATATCACCTCTAGTCCTTCTTTTCAATAGACTAGACATACCCAGTTCCTTCAACCGTTCTTCATGTTTTAGTCTCCAGTCCCCTAATCAGTGCCGAGATGAGAAAGAGAGATTACGCAGCACCCAAGAACAATTCAACTGTAGAAATTAAATAGTAAGATCTCTCCGTTTGGACATCCATTTGCAAATTGAAATATTTACAATCACATTTCATCGCATTGATCAACACCGGGACGTATCTAATATTTTTCCAATTTTCTTTTTTCTTTTTTAATTTTTGCACACTCTGATTCATTAAAATTTCAGACAAGGAGTTCAATGAAATATAAACACGTTAACTGTTGATGTACAACAACAGACACTGAAAAAATACAACACTATATATCACCAAAAAAAGGAACTTTACGGGCACAAGTGCCAAGAAATCTAGCAATCTTCATCTGATAACATGTGATCATGGAAGTTGACAACTAATGCTAAGCTAAGAATTGGAGAAGGCCCACTTCAGTGAAGCAAATCCAGCTGTGTAAAACTTTTTTAAAAATATGATAAATTATAATTTGCTAAAAACAATAGGGAAAAAAGGAGAAATAAACAATACCATGCCACACAAGCAGCAGAAAACACATATAAATATACAAAAACAGGTGTTTTTTTCCTCCTCCAGAAAGAGCAAAATAAATAAAGGAGAACTAAATAAATGAATAATTCTAAAATACCATGATAATATAACTCAATTATAAAATTACAATACAAAATAAAGTAATAATTCATTAACAGTAAATTAGTACATAATAAATAAAAATATAAAAAAGAAGAAAACTCGATGCAAAGTAAGACCAATGCCATTTAAACAGGCAGTTGTGAATTTCCATTGTTGTGTGTAGAATAATAATATATCTCTATAAAATTATTAATATTTTTAAGTAAAGACATAATAGACGTAATACGCTCAATCTGACAGAAAAAGTATGGGCGTTATTTAAAACACAAATAAAATAGGATTAAAAGAGAGGTCTTGGGTTATGTGTCATATTTTCCATTATGACTTATAGTATCTCTGGAGTTATGGACACAAGTGCCAAGAAATCTGTCAATCTTCATCTGATGAAGAATGCAGGCATAACCTTTTGATCATGGAAGTTGACAACCGATTCTAAGCTAAGAATTGGAGAAGCCCCACTTCAGTGAAGCAAGTCCAACTATATAAAAATTAAAGGAGATATCAAAAATGATAGTTTGCTGAAAACAATGAAAAGAAAGAAGAGAGAAACAGACAACACACCATTCTACGCAAGCAGCCAAACCACATATAAATATACAAAAACGGGGGGGGAGGGTTCCTCCTTCAAAAAGAGCAAAATAAATAAATAAGAGGCAGACAAATCACTAGTTTTAAAATTTAATTATAATATAACTCAATTATAAAATTATTGTGATAAAATAACAATTATAATTTATTAACAGTAAATAAATTGCATCAATTAGAATAACAAAATAGAATTCAAAGCGAACGAGGGCCAAGAGCATCTAAAAAAACCGGCAGATGTGATTTCTCATTGTTGTGTATATAATATACACCCTATTTCTCTATATAACTATTAAAATATTTTTAAATGAAAACGTAACAGACGTAATATGCTCAATTTGAGTGAAATAGTATGGGCTAGAAGTTATTTAGGCACCCAAATAAAACAGGACTAAAACAGAGGCCTTAGCCTATGAGTCCTTTGTCCTATAGTGACTTACCCTCTGGAATTAGCTGTTGTTCTCAAGATGTTGTACAGGTACTCCTCGATTTACAACCGTTCATTTAGCGACCGTTCAAAGCTACCACAGCACTGAAAAAAAGTGGCTTATGAACAGTCCTCGCACTTTGACTGGCTCAGCATCTTCACAGTCACGTGATCAAAATTTGGGCGCTTAGCAACCGTCATGTATTTATGATGGTGGCAGCATCATGGGATCACCCTTTGCAATTTCCACAGGTGGCTTCTGACCAGCAAAGTCAATGGGGGAGGCTGGATTTGCTTAACAGCAGTGCGACTCATTTAATGGCGTTGATTTGCTTAACAGCCATGGCAAGCAAGGTCATAAAATCACTCATGGCTCCGTTAACAACAGAAATTGCTTAGCAACAGAAGCGCTGGTCTTACTTGTGATTATATATTGAAGATTACCTGTAAATCATCACTAAGAAAAGTAGCTATGAACAAAACCGAGGACTTATAAGACCCCTACAGATCTTGTGATCAATTCTGACATTGCAAGAACAGAATCTAGTCTAAATCATAACCGAGGTAGACTTGACATGACTTTGTTAAGTCCATTTATAGCCATATTTTTTTTTTGTAATCCATACTAAAATCAAATAATAAAAAGGAATAGTACAGCCCTTGTAAGCAAGCATTTGTTCGAGTGGCTGATATACACAAGCCAATATCTTTAATGCACGCACATTAACTAGAACATGACAGAATCATTGGGAGAAATTATAACCCATTGGGTCAAAGAGATTTTCTTTTAATAGAAATCCATAATTCTGCAGAAAGAGCAGGATTTTCAATTTTGATTTGGGTGAGTTTGTATGGTCTGATTCCAATGCTATGCAAAATGGCTTCCTAATCAGAAGTACAAAATGGGGCAGGGGGAGAGAGAGAGAGATGGATCAATGGAGACTTTATGCTGGCGAATAATATGGAGCATGACATCTTTCTATTTTTCATTTCACAGGGGTACTTGTGATTGTGGAGAACGATTACAGCTTTGAGAAAGAGGAAGAGCTGGAGCATTTGTGGACCATCCTTTTCATTTTCTTCATTCTCTTCCTCCTCAGCGTGTGTTATAGTGCCACAATAACACTGTTTAAAGTAAGTGGGAAGGGAGAGAACTTTTTCAATGAATAGCACAAAGAAAGGGGTTAACGTAGACCTTTCAGAAATAGACCAAGGCAAAAGGGAGGATCAGGATGAAATATTGTTTCTTGCCAATATTTGAGGTGGACACATGCTATGAAGTTCATGCTCTTTTTATGGCCTTCTCAATGTCATTGAAGAAGCCACACCATCTCAGCAGAAGTCTAGACTAGAGACATCATTAGTTGAGCCCTTATGTTCTCATAAATGCTGAAACACCTATGTTTATTACAACACAATGAGGGTGGAGTATGATCCTATGCAAGAACGTGCCTCTATCTCTGCTTATAAAAATGGCATCCTGCCAACTATTCCATTAAAATAGAAGACAGCAATGTTTTTTCAGAAAGAGGCCTGCACTTGTCCTTCAAATAATATGATAGGTCCGTGTTTCAATAGGTTTGTAAAACTGTGGGGTCCTTGGTCTCTGGGTTTGATTGTTTTCTTGCAGACGTTTCATTACCCAACTAGATAACATTATCAGTGCTACAAGGCAGTGGGATTTGCTGTCTTTTTGTATATTAGTGGCTTGTCCTACCAATATTGGTGGAGGTATTGCTGGTGGTTCCTTAATTCAGCTGTTTTTATGGTTAGCTTTTTGTCTGAACTGGTAGCTCTTTCATTGGGGCATTGTTTCCTTCTAGACTATTGGACTAGTATTGACCTTCGTGTAAATCTCTGCTTATTTAGGTACTGATTGCTTGTGATGAGGTATTTTGGGCTTTTTGTTTCCTTTTTGGCTTTTTGATTGTCTCTTTTGAATAATATGTAGCTGTTTTGCCTGTTGTGCCTGTTGATGGCTGATTTCTCTGAGACCCAGACTTCTAAAAAGCTTGGTTTAGGATGCTATCCTAGTATTGATGATGTTACCTAGTTTAGTGATATAAATGTCTGCAAGAACACATTCAATGTTAGAGAGCACCAAGGTCCCCACATTTTAACTCTGAGTTACAAATATTCCATTATATTGTTAAGTTTGGTTAAAAAAAAGAAAAGGGCAGAGCTAGGATGAAAATTAAGCTTGATTTAATTTAAATGCATTATAATTAATAAGATTATTCCCCATGTGCTTAAGAATGTTCTCTTTTATCTTGGACACATCAGAGGACTTTAGAAGTGTTTTGAACGCAGAACCCCAAATTAGGCACAATGCATACAGCTTAAGGTCCAGTTGAATTCTTTCTCTTTTCTTGCATATTCTGTTAAAAATAAAAACAATGAGATGAAGAGAAGGAAACAGTTGGTCAAGTCAAGTAGAAAAAAATGAAAACTGTTGGAAAAGAGAGGCTGAGAAAAAAATAGAATAATTTTACCTTTTTTCCTATTCATTACAAGAAAGGGGGAAAGAAAGAAGTATTAGTAACAAATAGAAACAATTCTTTATGAAAGAACCTGTCAACTATTCTTCTCTGCCAACTTTGAACCCATAATTTTCCATTCTCACTGCTTCCCAATAGGTAAAATGGCTTTTTTCTACAATCACACAACTGAGGAAGAAACCAACATGCCCTAATTACAGGAACATAATCCAGTAGAAGACCAGTGGGAAGATTTGCTTGGGTCTACAACTCCATCTTCAAAGTAAAGACCTGGAGCTTCTCTCTCTGTCCTGGACTATCCAAGATCAATTTGTGGATCCATGGAGATGGAGAATGTTGCTGGAACCTGGAAGAAAAATATATTCCTGTAGACCATGTGTCATAAAAACAATTCCACTGAAGTAAACTTGGGGACATGTATTAAATTGTTTCCTAAAGAGCAGACAGGTCTCAGATCCTGATAGGCATGATAGAAAATGGAGGCCTACCAAAAGCCAGCCTAGTCTCTAGTGTCTGAAGAGTTCATTCAGATGTCTCTGTTTTCCACCCTGCCATTTCAGACATTCTGTTCCACATTTGTCCTCCTCTAAGCATTATTCCCACGAGCCAGTTTGCTTTAGTGATTTGTTTGTTTGCTTGCTTGCACTCAAGTCAGAAGCACCAAGGCAGTTTCAAGTTGAAAGGATTAGCCAGTGACATCACCCTTGCCCTGCCGATGTTCAGTTGGGCTCCTTTCAAATCCTTGGCAGGAGCTGGAATGAAGGACGAGCGCTCAACCCTGCCCCACGGCAGTTCTCAGGTCTCAAGCGCAGGCTTGCTAACCTCATGCCCAGTCTTCCAACCACTTGAGCTATCATGATCCTGGTATAGTGGTTAAAGCATCAGACTAGAAACCAGGAGACCATTAGTTCAAGTTCTGCTTTAGGAAAGAAGCCGGCTGGATAAGTTTTGGGCCAGCCACTTTCTTCCCACCCTAGGAAGCAGGCAATGGCGAACCAGTTCTGAAAATGTTGTCAGGAAAAGCAGACATTTGCCACTGTAGTTGCCAGGACTCAAGACTTATTTGAACTTGTGCACACAACACAGAATATCATCCCTATTGTTTGAAAATATCTGAACTATCAACCCCAGCTGAATGCACCAGACTTGTCAGTTCTATGAACCTATTTCAGAGAACCCACCATATAAACACAGAAATGTATAAACCTCTTGTCTCCTTGCCTAGCTTTAAATATGCAACATGTTTTGCCAGCCATACCCCTCTCGTCTCCTCCTCGTCCGTCCTCACATTTTTTAGACAAGAATGATACTGAGAAAAACATGCCATTGTAATACAGATGGCTTGCTTTATTTTTGTTATTCTGATAGAAAATAAATGCGCAAATAAAAACAGATGTTCGCTTATATGGTGTTTGTTTGGTTTTGTTTTTTTTCATCAACCCTCCAAAACGGTTGTGGGAAGACCATTGCAGCACACTAATGTTGATGCCCTTCGGCTTTTGGGGACAGTTATTCGATATAAATATCTCACTGCTTTAAAAGGAGGTGGAAACTGTTCAAGTCTTTATGATGAACGTCAGGGTCAAAGAACTAGAACCAGAAGGGCGTTAAAAGAAAGAGAAAAAAGGGGGGGAGAAAGAAAGATGAGCAATTATGTCTAAGGAAGTTGACTTTCATCAGTTGCTTATTTCACCCAGAAGTTCAACAAACACATACACGCTACAGTGGAAAATCTCACAACTCAAGTCAGAGTCCATAAAAGAAGCAAAGTCTATTTGATCTATAGTTTTCCCTGGTCTTAGCTGACTGTTAAGTGTTCGCTTCTAGCCACCATGATACCAAAAGAAAATAATGAGTGTTATGATATCGTAACACAAGTTTCTCCCTTTTCTACATGTGTCATATTCCTCTTTTTGTAAAGCCTAACAAGGAAGCCTTGCCCTCAGGTTGTTCACACCTGGGTTTCTTTAGAGAGCAAAAAGAAAGACCTTGACAGAGAGAGGGAAGATCAGTTATCAAGACCATAAGTAGATAACCATGGCTTAAGCCTAGATGCAAGGCACAGAATATCTCAGACATAAATTATCCAGATGTTTTTTATCTTTCTTATCAACAATTGTTAAGTCTGGCAGGTGCTTGGCTCTTTGAATTCTATAGTCCCAGAGATCTTTATCTTCTTCATTTACTATGACTTTCTTTTTGTTATTATTATGCTTCATCGCATAGTAAGTCCGATCTTCAGATTGGATTTGGCATTTTATCCACTTACAAGAGAAAAACACACTTTCTTCTGTTTGCATTTGAAAACAATGGTTGGAATGAAGTATTACAGGCTAACTCTGTCCACAGACTGCTCACAGTCTGGAGTTTGATCCCGACCAGGTCAAAGTTGACTCAGCCTTCCATCCTTCCAATGAAGTGGTTTTTTCACATCTTCAATTCACACCTTCACACCAGCCCTACACTAACTGCTAATTTTGGCTTTGTTTTTGAATGACACTTCCCCAAAACATGAGCAAAACTCTGAAGGCCCTGTTAATCAAGGGAGTTCACATTCTCAAGGAGAAACAAAACACAGTTGAGCAATAGAAGTCTGATGGTGTCCCTGGCATTTGATTTGGTGAGTATTTGATTTTCTATCTGCTGGGAAGATGGAAATAAATGAATACCAGTGTTATAACACAGTCCTTTCAGCAGTTCCAAGAAGGTTCCACGCCCATTTGCACTATTCAGGTGACTCTGAGGGCACTGATAAACCTCCAAGTGGCCTCAACAGCTCTCAGGGAGAGGGCTAGTAACCAGCTGACTGCAAAGAATATACATCTTCAAGGAAAAAACAAGTCCACTTGCTTTTGAAAAAGCACATTTGGGATTATCAACAAAGTATTATTTAAAATTTATATGAATGATAGTTTCAGGGATCATTGCAGGATAATGGCCCATCAGAGTTCAGCAGGTCTTCTGCTCTGCTGTGCAAAACCTAACTACTTGCACTGTAACAAGGGGTAAAGGTAAAGGTTTCCTCTGTCCAGCTCTGTCTGACTCTAGGGCAGGGGTAGGCAACCTTGGCGCTTTTATGACTCGTGGACTTCAACTCCCAGAATTCCTGAGCCAGCCACGCTGAGGGGAAAGGGGAGGTTTCCAAGCTGAGCCAGGCTGGCTCAGGAATTCTGGGAGTTGAAGTCCACGAGTCATAAAAGAGCCAAGGTTGCCTACCTCTGCTCTAGGGGCTGGTGCTCATCACTTCTTCTTAGCCAAGGGAGCCAGCATTGTCTGAAGACTTTTCTGCGGTCATATGGTCAGCATGACTATACACCAAGGGGCACAGAATGCTGTTACTTGCCCACCAAATGGTGCCTATTTATCTACTCACATCTGCATGCTTTTGAACTGCTAGGTAGGCAGGAGCTTACTTTACTAACACGTGAAGTATTAACTAACTATTAACTAACAGGTGAAGTATCAGTACCGCTTTATGAAACCTTAGCAAGGTCCACACCTGGAATAATGCATCCACATTTTGATCACCACATTACAAAAAAGATATTGAGATTTTGAAAAAGTGCTGCAGAGAACAGCAATTAAGATGATCAAAGGCCCAGAGACTGAAACATATGAAGAATGGTTGCAAGATTT